ACCCTGTAGCCCTGCAGCAAGCCAGCCGCCGCCACAGCCACCCCTTCTCCTTCAGCACCTCTCCCGTGTGGAGGATTTTGTCCTTAGGGGAGAGCACACGCGCTTGGGACCTCACCCATAGTCTTCATAGCATGAGAGCCCCCAGCTCCTCAACGATGCTCTTAAATCTTGTAGATGCTACAAAAAAGTGACCTCAGTTTTCTCCAAGCTCATCACACAGCAGGCACTGTGACCATGAGACCAGTTTGTCCCAGTATGACTAGAAGAGCATTTGATTACCCGCCAGCCTGTGTCATCCCAGAAGACTGGTTGGGCAGGTGTGGTCGAAGCCCCCCAACACCAAATGATCAGTGCAAGGTTGTCCCCCTCTCCGCTCTTCATTCCCTAACCCAAAATGGGCTTTTCCCACCCCTTGGGCAGGAGGGGCATCACGTCTCCGCGTGCTGGTGCCACCCAGGACTTTGATAGCACCAGGGCAGAAACAGCGATCTGCCAGCGCGGGCAGGGAGCAGAGAAGAGCATCCAAGTGCCACCTTACCAGGAAGTCCCCGCTGACGATGATAGCTCTCTTCTTGTGGTACGAAGCCTCTGGGCGCTGCTGGGGGAGGCGGCCGCTGCACAGGGCTTCCCCGCTGCCACTGAGGTTGTTGTTGCTCACCCAGTAAGCCTCGAGGATCTCGCTGTGCGAGGAAGGGGTGGTTGGAGCTGAGCTGAGGACACTGGGCACACTGCCTGGCTTCAACTGAGACCTACAGTTGGCCTTTGCCATCTCAAAGCCAGCTCCAGGGAGATGGGGCTGGTACCCAGTGGTGGGAACAGGGGGGACAGAGATGGGCTCACTGGTATCAGAAATCAACCGCTGTCCCTGTGGTTTAGAGGCTGGAGAGACAGCTTAAGCACTTTCTGATCAAAGCCTGCCAAGGAAGAGAATGCTGTAGGGGCAGAAACAGATGGGGAGGCCTGGAAAAGCATCAGCAGATGAGGGCCATGGACATCCAGGCTGGGACAGAGAAGGAGAAGCATCTCTGGCGGAGTCGAGCTCTGCCCACCCTGCACAGGTTCCTATGCCCTTGGGTGTCTTCAGCAGGGACAACAATGTCCCAAACCAGGAGGTCACAGTTCCTCACCTGATCTCCTTCTCCTCCAGGATCTCCATGTCGTCAGTGAGCAGCTTGCACGCGTAGCCAATGTTCATTGCGGTCTCTGCAACACACAGGTGTCAACGGCCGATGGTGCTGACCCCCCCTCCCCTTCCCAGAGCAGCCCCCAGCCCTTGAGTCCAACAGTCCTTGGTGGGCAGCAACTGCTGGGGGCTCTGCTCCAGCTCTGTGCCGTCGTGCAGATGGCTTCCCCTGCCTCAGTTTCCCCATGGGTGACATGATCTGTGGGACGTGCTGCTATTGTATATTAAAGGGAACAGCAGAACCTGGTTGCTGCCCACTCCCAGGGTCTCATCTCTTCTCTGGTCCTGGTTACGGGAGAAGCTGAAATGTGTTGGTGGGGTCGTTGCTTCCACTGACCTTGTTTGTCTCCCGTCAGCACCCACACTTTAATGTTTCCCAGTTTCAGCAGCTGGATGGTCTCAGGGACTCCATCTTGCAACTTGTCCTCAATGGCCGTGGCCCCAAGCAGCTGGAAGGAGGGTGAGTGGGTGTCATGATATGGGGCCGGGCAAGATAAAGAGGTGAAAATTGCCTCTGGACCAACCAGGGGTCCTGCCCATGGGTGAACACGACCTGACAGATATCTAACCAAGTGTCTACTGACATGTCACAAAGTCACCCCTGGGGGGAAATTCCACCTGCCCTCCCACCCAGGGGATGGGTGTTGGGCTGGACACTTCACCCCCTCATCCCGGAGAGCCGAACCCCACACTCCTGCCCTCTGTGGGACCAGCGCAGCCGGTTCCTCCTAAACCCCGGCCTTATCCCACCTGCAGGTTCTGCTCCATCTCCTCGTACAGCTTGTCCAGCTCCCGTGCACGGTCCTGCAGCAGGATGCTGGCCTCGTGGTGCCTCCTGCTCCACTCGCTGTACTCGACTTCGCTCACCTCCTTGCTGGCCAGGCATAAAGTCCTCAGTGTCTCCTCTGCAAAGCGCTGCAGAGATGAGACATCAGGTCTCCCTTCCCTCGACCGGGATGACTCTCATGGTGGACCAGGGCATCATGCCAGCCAGCCACGATGCTCCCATGGGTCTCCCTCTGGGCTCTCACTCCCTCCCCCATCCTACAGCATCCCCATGAGCATCCTTGCAATGCAACTGGTCCATGCAGAACACCGAAGGTGGATTTGATGCCCTCTTAGCCCCTGTCCCATATGCAGGTGAGGCTCCTAAAGCAGAAGGAAGAAAAGGACCAAACCCCTGAAGCCAGAGGGAGAAAGAGCAGCAGGGGACTCCAGGACACCAAGCCCAAAGCCAGCAGCAGGGAGACCAGCCCTTTCCGCCCCAGGCTGTCATGGCACTCACATCCAACGCCATCTCGGTGAAGGTCTCATTGGGCCCTCGCCTTTGCAGTCTCTCCAGGATGACTGTGTCAGCCCCCTTGGTGTAGAGCCGGATCGTGCCCTGGGGGTCTCGCACTGGGAGGGAGGGGAAGGACACCTTAGGTACCCAGAGAGATGGCTCCTGCTCATCGCTGTCCCCATTCAATGGCCGTGCTGCAGAAGGCACCGCAGGGGATGCTGGTGCTTTTCTGCCTGCCGTCATTGGAAGCACAGGAGTTTTCCCCGATCTACACCACCACGAGGCAGGATCAGGCCTCAAGGACTGCCAATTCCTCACACACCTCCTCTGAGCCCCTGATTTACTCGCTCTCTCTTGGCTGCTCAAACCCTTCTCGGCTGCCTTCACCAAGGTATCTGGTTGAGCAAAACCGCAGGGATGACCAGGACGATCCTTAGAAGCCCCTGCACCAGCTGCGGTCAGTCGCAGCCATCCCGGTGCCATCCCTTGTAGGGCTGAGTACGGAAGGGACCCTCTGTGTTCCTGGAGGGGCCCCCTGAGACACCCCATCCCGCTCACCCAGGACAGACATCCTCTTGCGATCGCTGTTAAAGTCCAGCATGGCCAGCACTTTGTACGTCCTCTTCTTCCCCAGCTCACTGATGGTGACGGTGTCTTGCGTTCGGGCCAGAAAGACGTACCCCAGGTTCCTGGCTGCCAACACCAGTGCTTCTTCGTCTGGTGAAGCTGCCTGATAAACCAGCCGGTCTGCAGAAGAGGAGTAGGGGTTAGACGAGGAGACTCCCAGCCAAGCAACTCTTGAACATCTGAAACACCCTGTTCTTGCTCAGCACCAGCATTTTCTATGGACACACTGAAGTCCAAGCCACCAGGCTAGGGAAACTCAGACCTACTTGTCTCATCTCTTCTGCTCAGGCAGGACAAATGCCCAGGTAGGGCATTTTGTTCCAACTAATTAGCTTTAAAACAAACCCAGATGTACACGTCCATGATGCAGGACAGTGGCACAAAGCATCCCCGGGCTCTCACACCACCTGCTCCCCCCAGAGCAGAGCTTTGCTGGGCAATCGAAAAAGCCATCCTTGAACGGCAGCTCGACCCCGCT